ATTTGGCATACAGCTATAACCTACAGCCTTAAATCGACAAAAGGGATTTTCTTATGTAAATTCAACTGGAGGAGTATTATTGTTGAAATATCCTTTTCCTGTTCCCCAGAAGGCTTTGCAGTTATTCTATTTTGCCAAAATAGCATCTCTCTCATCTCCCAATAATGTTGGAGGAAAAAGAGCACTTAGAGTATTTATCAGTTGGTTGGACTGGGTAGGAGCTTGTGTAGGCTGACTGAAGAGACCACCTGATTAGTTTACTGCTGTTGCTGCTGTGTATTGAATCCTCCAAATCCCAGGCCAGTTCCCAAACCAATACCTAAACCAGTACTAGTTCCTGTTGCTGTGCCAAAACCAATACCAAATCCAAAACCTTTGTTCTGAGTGCCACTGAAGAGTCCAGTAGTGCCTGTGTTTGCTGGGGCAGAAAAGCTGAATGCAGAACCTGCACTTGTCGATGTCTTCCCAAATCCTCCAAACCCTCTGGCCGGTGTGGCCTTGGCTGCAGCAGTGCTGGAGGTGCCCGAGGGAGTCCCAAAATTGAAGGCCATACCCCGGGAGCAGCAAGGGCAGAGGACCCAGGCGCTGCTCCCAGGATGCAATGCTCCTTGTAGAGCTCTTTAAAAGCAACAGATTGTAGTAAGAACATACTGCTGGGAGAGCCACTTGATATTATTACTCAGAAGTCTGCAAAGAGTCTCCTGGAGCCACCTGAGGGGTAAAACAGAAGCATCCCTTTGACAAATGGAAGAGCCGCCATTAGACTCTTCTAAATTATTTTTATATTTTATTGAAAATTCCACAATAAAGCCCATGATTCATTGACTTAATCGGTCATGCTTTCTCATCCATTTTTGAAGTAATATGTTCTTTTAAAGGAAGAATGCATTGTGATTAAGAGTCAAGACTGTTGAGCTAGATTCTGGATATTAATACCTTGTCTTCATTCTTGATTAACCATGTAACTTTGGTCAACTTAGTGAATATTTTAAGCTCCAGATTTCTCATGTGTCAAATGTGGATGATAGTAACTTTTACCTAATAGAGTAGTTATGACTATCAAATGAGAAGATCTATGGAAAATCTAGATCAGAGTTTAACACAACCTTTTTTTTCCGCCAAGGGCCATGCATGGGATATTTAATCACATTACCTTGGTTTCCTCTAATCCTTATTGGGAGAAGATAGGTTGTAAATAATGAATGATTATGATTTGTTACTCTTATTTTGTGTGTGTATGTGTGCAGGTCCTGAGGTTTGAACTCAGAGCTTGGGTTATGTCCCTGAGCTTCTTTTGTTCAAGGCTAGCACTCTGCTATTTGAGCTACAGTACCACTTCCAGCTTCTCATGGACTTTCCTATTCAGCTTTGCTTTGAACCATGATCTTCAGATCTCAGCCTCCTTAATAGCTGGGATTACAGGCATTAGCTTACCAGCATCCAACTTATTCTTTATTTCTAACGAAAATAGTAGCTTAGAGTATCATGATTTACAATGGCTCTCACAGAATTTAGGTGGATACTAAATATCTCCTATAGTGAAATTTCTTCTGTTATTGTATAGAAGGAAGTCAAATAATAATTTTCCTCTACTGGATCCTATCTGCTTACTCTCTGAGAAGAAGAAGGTAATAGAAAACATGACTATAGATTTTGCAATCACTATGTATAATGTAATATAATAAAGATAAGAAATGTACATAGGGACAGAGTTAATTGGTATGATGTAGGGTTCAGAATTCATTAGGTGAATCTGATACCTGGTGATAAAGCATCATTGATTGAGATTTCTCTTTGGAGTATCCATAAAGTAAAGGATATTATGGAGAAGGGAGAGAATATATGGAGGAAATTAATGTTTTCTAGTTGTTTGGATATTATTTTTTTCTTACCACATTGCATGACTTTATTCTTATCAAGGAGTACCAAGTCATTGGCTATAAGTTTTAGTTAGCTTTATGAGCCAATGCTCTACTTGTTCACAATGTAATAGGAAGCAAATGTAAACCTTCGCTTTCTAAGATTAGGAAAACAGTGCAAAGGATATAATGGTGATATCTTGTAATAGTAGTTTTTCAGTTATAGAATCAGACTTCCTAATCAGACTTACCTGAGGACTTCAGTAGAAGCAAACTTGAGATAGCGCATCAGAAATAGGCTTGTACATGACCACAAACATTGTTCAGAGAATTTTAGGAGGTGCATAGAATGAAATACCGAAAACATGTTCAGTTCTTCTCTTGGCCCTGAAAGCATACTCTCTGGTTTTCTCTTAATGTAAGTATAAGTGGATAATTATAATTCAAAGATTATGAAGTACATTCCTATAGGCCTTTTAAATCTTCTAAGCTCATTTGCTGGTTAAATAGTTGCTATATCGCTAAAGATGAAGAGAAACTGATTGGATTTGTTTAACAATAGTGTGTCACCAAATGAATAAGAAATATTTTTAATTGGCCATGGAGATTTTCTTTTAAAAGAGGTCTGGTTTTTAATCAATTGCACTGGCTTATTTCTCCATGGCACCCATCTCCTTCTATTTTTATTTTCCCCTTAAGGCATGATTAAACTAAGGGACATGTCACTGGCTCAGTACATATTGATATTCCGAAACAGGATATGATATAGTATAGCCCTTGCATAATCAGGATTCTGTCTAGACTAGTGAAATGAAAACAGTGACAGAGCAAAAAAAAATGATCTGTTTCTGGACTATGATACTTTAGAAAACATTTTACCAGCATATTAATGAAAATTGCAGATACAGAATCATATTTTATAACAACATTAAACTTGAAGCTTTAATATCTAAAATGTCTGGTTGGCATTTGTATTTTCATTTCATTGATATTCACCATTTCAGACTGGCATGTCATTAGATAAAGTAGAATTTACTCAAATGATTCAGGAGGGATAAAGAGGAGCCTCACACAGAAGCACTTCTCAAAGAATAGACAGGAGGGCATGATGTCCTTTGAGGAGAGGGCAAATGCTCATTTTACTTGTGTTTGTGGCTAAGATTCTATTTGTAAAACTCTTAGGTGACTGGTGACTAAGAAGCAAAACAAATGCCTTAACCCTGAGTAGTTTTGAATAAGTAACATTGTGTTGTTAAATCTTTTTGGAGTTTTTTCTCCTTTAGTAGAATAATTTATTTTCTAAGTCACACTTTCATTGAAAAAATGAGAAAGTGAGCTTGAATTCTTGCAACTAGGCCTGACTAAGTCTTGTGGATGAGTGACTCTTCCTGTATCCTCCCAATGTTATGAAACTATTTGCTCAATATTTGTATAAAGCAAAAAATAATGTACCACTAACATTTAAATGAAGAATGAGGGTTTTACAGTTAATACCTGGAATAAAATCCGTACTAAGTTACTCACTGGCTCTGTGATCTTTGAAAAAAAACCTTTTAGTTATTGAATGGATATTATAATTTTATCTACTTTCTAAAGACATGACAAGTTATAGAAGTTAATCCATCCAGGAAGACATTAGTAAAGAGCCTGTTAAATGGTGAATTCTCAAAAAAAAATCCTTATATAGGGAATATTTTAGAGTATGATTTTTATGCCAATGTATAGTTTTGTTGATTTTTATTGTATCTTTTTTGAAGTAATAGTGAATTTTCTTTCACTCTGAAAGAGCTTAAAATCTCTTAAAAATATAGTAAGTGACAATGTGAACATGCTAGTTTAATTCTGTTTTCCTGATTGTGTGTGTCATTTACAGCCTTTATTTCAGAGTACTGTCGTAGAAGAATTTTTGTCTTAGTCGAGAATCCTTATATTCTCTCCTTATTATCCACCTGTTATGTGGCAAAAAGCTTGGGTAATAGGAATGGAAATGGTCCCATAAAAATGTATATTGGTTGCCCTTCCTAATATGAGAGGTCAGGAATAGGCCTAATATTAAAAAAAAAAACAAAAAACGAGGTTTAGATAGCAACTGAATCTGTTAAATATATCCATCTAGACTAGATCATAAAAATGAATGAAAGTATTCCGAAAACAGTTGTAAATTTAACTCAGTATGCTTCCTTGGAGATCTGTTTATGGTTCTTATTTTACCTCTTGAATGGCAGAGCCATTATTAAGGCAAAGATCTAGTAATGAATATAACATAGAGACTTGGTAGATTCTTAGCCTTTTATTAATGTTTTTCACTCCATTTTCCTGCTTGCTCCCTTGATGGAAGCTGCACTGGCAATGCCTGTCCCATGAAATAATTTCACATTCATTGGACATTGGTTCTGTGTTCTCTGCCTGAGGCTGCCTGCTATTTGATTCTGCCTTAGGCACCAATGATATTGAAATTCAGTGAGGATTTGAAACTTGTGGTAGTGAGTAGATTCATTTTTTCTTGGGTTTCTAGTTCATTTTATCTTTTTGAATATAAGCAAATAATGTCAAACATTACCTCATATTTAAGTGGTATCAAAGTATCTGTGACCTGTAATTAGTGGCTGCTCAGCATCATTTATATGGAGATTTTGAGATCTGTTCATTTGTAGACAAAAGAAAATTCAGATTTTATTTCTTGGAACTAATATTTGTGTTTTCGATTAGAGATCTAGATAACTATGAAATATAAAGACATTTATTATTTTTAATTAAGGAAGATGATAAAATCGTGCAAATGTTAGGTACAAACACATGAAGCATCAAGCTGAGTGTTCTCATATTGTGCATTTGTTTCTGCTTTGGGGAATAAATAGCAATGGCATTATATGACATGGAAACCTAACCTGTTGCTTTAAGATTTAATTTTTTGCAAGTGTGCAGCTGCAGCTTTATCAGTCTTATCACAAGTGAAGCAAATCTTTATTGTCTTCCATAACCTCTTAATTCACAGAAGCAATTTTGACGTTACATAAAGGACGTAGCAAATGCTTAGCTCAACACTTAAAACAATTAGAGCACAGAAAAATATTAGATATTTTTAATATTTATTTTTCAATATTAACTTTGTTTAATGTTAAACTGGTCTTTTTCTTACAGCGAGAGATTTTTCTTGAGACTGAACAGAAATGGGCTTCCCAAAGCCCCAGATAAACCTGAACGACATTGCTCTCTCTTTCTGGTAAGTGGGTCTTCTTTTACCCTTGAAGTGTATTCTCCATAATGTGCTTGTTGGTACTAATTGTGAAAGAGCATAGTGAATTTTCTTGAACCTTGCAAATAAATGCATCAATAACCAGAATTCCAGATGATTCCAATAATCCAATAATGAGTACCTTTACTTTCTTTTTTTTTTTTTTTTTCTTCTTTTTTTTTGGTCGGTCATGGGGCTTGAACTCCGGGCCTGGGCACTGTCCCTGAGCTCTACAGCTCAAGGCAAGCACTCTACCACTTGAGCCACAGTGCCACTTCCAGTTTTCTGGTGGTTTATCAAAGACAAGAGTCTCATGGACTTTGCTGCCGGGGCTGGCTTTGAACCACGGTCTTCTGATTTCAGTCTCCTTAGCAGCTAGGATTACAGGTGTGAGCCACTGGTGCCTGGCTACCTTTACTTTCTTTAGTGTATCATTGACCCTGTTTCATATAGTACATACATTAGAGTATTGTTAATCTTTATTATACCATTACCAAATTAAGCCAGTTAATGGTAGGGCCTAGCTTGAATCTCACATGACAGGGCCTATCTAGAATCTGCTTTATAGATGTTCAAGTCAGGGAGTGGTTTTACTTTTAAATGTTAATGGTGTAAAGTTGATTACTCTGGAATTTTAGAACCCAGACTCAAGCTCCATGGGTTCTACATTTCATATTTGGCCACCTGCCCATCATGCCATATAAAAAGTGTAGTGAAAATGGGCAGGAAAAGGAGGTTCACCTGCTTCAACCCATCTTCCGGAGTACAGATATGAGCCTTAGGTTTAAATAGGAAAACAATTTTGACCATGGGATGAAAAGTAGATGGAATTGAACAGTCCCAGTCTGGATTTGAGACTGGTTTTCTTGAGGGCAGTTTCTTCTGTCCATCTTTGTAAAAATGTTATCAGTCCTGCCCTTTCTGAATTCCACCATGCTTCAAGGTGAATGACTCAAGAGCAAAGACAGATACAAAAATGGGGGCAGGGATGCCAAGCTATTCTGCTTTTTAATTTCTAGGTCCAAGTAAAACGTCAGTAAAAGCAGTGTAAGTACCTGTTAAATGAGTTTACTGATATTTTTAGAACAGGATTTGAATCATGTGCTTCCTTACAAATATCTATGTTTATCTTTGTCTTTTTTTCTTTTTGTGAAAGTAAAGCACTATTCTCTTCAAGGTACTGTGCAGATTATGAATTTTAAAATAATCAGACTTCATTTCTTGGTAGGATTTGGGCAGCAGCGAGCTCAGAAAGGACATCTACATCACTGTGCACATTATCCGAATTGGTAGGTACAGCCATTGAGAAAAGTAGGTGAAAGGACTCTGTGGTACTTTTTGCTATTTGCAGCCAAATTTGAAAAGAAGCACAGGAGTTGAGAAATTTTCTCGAGCCTCTCTGACCTCACTCACATAGTACCTCCTCGTGCAGTTTAAATAGATTTTAGTCTCTCTCAATGTCAGTTAAGTACTATGGTGTTTTATTTTGGTTTGGTGGGGACCTCCTAAACATATTTGATTCAAACATGTGTTTTTGTCTTTACATTTCAATAAGATAACATAAATTTTGGGAAGCTAAATTTCCTACAAGTTTATCTTCCTAATTGGAGAATGCCACAACACATTATTATAGAAGATTCTGCAGAGATTACAAGATATTGAATACTATGTTATTTTTTGACTTATATAATGCCATCAGCTTAGTAAAGGGTTTGAGAAATCCTATAGAGACAAATATACTTCTTCAACTTTGTTGACCTCAGATTTCCCAAAATATGATGTGAGCATGAAAACTTTTATGTGATTCAGCATTTATTTACATCTTACAGTACACATTTAAGTTTTACAGTGAACTTGTTCAGTGGAGCAGAATACATCCCCTTATTTTTTTTCTACATAAAATGCCTGTGAAAGCAGACCTTTTATAGCAGAGCATCTAGGTAAAATGAGGAATAGCATAGCCTGAGCAGTTTTGTATTAAGGCTACTCAGCTGTTGGACATTTGGTTTCTACTTCCTTGCTAAGTGTACCAGAACCCTTCAGTCAAGTAATAATAGCTTTGCCATGCCGTTCTATGAATTGAGCTTTTTCTTTACTTTAGTCATTTATTTTGTACATACAGTAAGGAAGACAATAAAACATGTTGTCATTCCAACATAGATTTTCATTAAAAATGTATTGTGAAAGCTGTTTTCATTTGATTTTTTTATATTTGGAGAATATACAAATACTTTATTTAAAAGTAAACTGTGGTTTTATTTATATTTTTGCTGGTTGTAGGGCTTGAACTCTCTCAGAGCACTCTCAGAGCCTCTTTGTACTCAAGGCTAGTGTTCTACCACCTGAGCCACAGTGCCACTTCTGGTTTTTGAGTAGTTTGTTGTAGATAAGAGTCTCATGGGGACTTTTCTGCCTGGACTGGCTTGGAACCATGGTCCTCAGATCTCAGTCTCCTGAGTAGCTAGGATTACAGGTATCAGCCACTGGCACCTGGCATGTTTGCCATTTTAATTGTTTGTCTTAAAAATACATAGGCAAGAAAAGGATTGGAAAGAATCTTTTAAAATGTTGGAAAAATCGGAACCTTTTGTTGCCATGTGCTTTTGAGATAAAAAAAACCTCTGATCCTAAGATGGCAGGGAACCAGCTTGTTACTTTGTATTTCTTTTTTGTTGGTATTTTATTTCAAATTTTTATTAGCAGTTGTTCTTGTGAAATGTAGTTTGGGATATCTTTATGTAAATATTACTAAAATGTACCTGGAAACTACTATAGTTTTGAAGGAAAAGTCAACTACTTTTTTTGCTTCCCAACTTTCTAATTACTGTCTATAGGTTTGGAGGCTAGAAAGACTTAGAGCAGAAAATGAGCCCTTTTAGCCCTTGACCTTCACTTGCAGAGATATTACTGAAGCCAAGATCTGCCTTTCAAATGCTTGGCATTTGAGTAGTGATTGTAATTTTTAGCTTACAGATATTTGTGATCATTACATCCTCAGAATTAATGCTGTACCCACCCCTAGATGTAGTCAACTATTTCTCTGGAATTATTGCAAAACACTTAATAATAAACAAACATTTGCTGCTGCAATATTTTGAGACATAGGAGAAATGAGATTACAGTAAAACACTCCATGAAAGGTTAAGACTTAAAAAAAAGAAAGGTTAAGACTTAGTCTGACAGCTTTTTTGATGAAGTGGAATTACAGAGTGGAAGATTATTATCTAGTAGGGACAGATGCTTTTTGCTTTTTATAGAAAGTCCCTTGTATCTACTTTAGTGGGAAAGGGCATGCTAACCTCTCTGACTGCTGAAGACAGGATCAGTGGTACCTTTGTTCTGGGAATTTATGCCCAGGTCTTTGATTTGGAAAGAAGGAAGGGGAAAAGAAAGGGTTAATGGTTTTATATCCCCTTCATCTCTTCATCCTCTGTACCTGCCCTTTTGACTTTCAACTGGCTTTTCAATGTTTTAACTCCCTACTTATGCTAAGAACATTTTCTTAGAAATCACAGCGGAACTATGAATTCTCATTAGCGTTGGGAAGACAAAGGCTGGTATGAAATCATCCTTTTTGGTGTAGCATTTACACCACAATCTTGGTATCCCAGGCTGTGGTACCCACAGAGCCAGGAAGAAATGTAAAACTGTGTTTGAGAACAAGTAAGAAAAGAGGAGCTGGTGCTCAGTGAGAGAGCTTGCTGGAGGGTCCTCTTGGGTGATCTCTAGCCAGTCTCCCCAAGACACAAGTTTTTTTTTAGTGTAGTACTCCAGAAAGAGAAAGTTTCCAAAAGAATGAAAGAAAACAGAAGGCTGGTATGTGTGCAATGCCTTGTGTAAGCAAGGAAGTCAGAGCTGAAAGAATCCTTAGAAAAATCTTTTTCAGTTTTTTTTACTGATGAACTTCTTTTCTAATATTAACTTAAAAATTCTGCTCTCGGGAATCTGCTAATCATTTTGTCATCCTGCATATACAAATGATAAATGAATAGTTTATAAAAACTTAAATCACGATATTGATAGAGATTATAATAAATAATTAGTTCTAATGAATTCTGTAGCGATACCAAAAATAGAGATGAATTGAACATTTTTTTAGTTTAACAAATGGGCAAAGTTTCTTTTTCTCCTATACTTTTTTTTAAAGATTTTTAAATTTTTATTGTGAAGGTGATGTAGAGGGGTTACAGTTACATAAGTCAGGTAATGAATACATTTACTTTGGAACCGTGCCACCATCTCCCTAATTCTTTCCCAGTTCCCCCAAATTCCAAATGTATAGTTCATTTCCAACATAGTGTCTAGTAGGTTTCACTGCTGGATTGGTTTACCCTTTGTCACACTCTTTCTGTGCTTCCCTCCCCCTCCCCAACGAAGATAAACTTCTATAGAAGACAAAGGGTACAGAAATCAAAAACAATGACAAAAGGGGAAAAAAGCAAAGGAAAAAAAAGGTAGGAAAAAGAAACCACAAACAATACAATTAAAAAAACGCTATTTCCGTTCCTTGGAGTTCATTTTGATAATCATCATTTTCTATGATCATATACATAGCTATTGAGCCCTCACATCCTCTCCTAAGAATATCCTTCTTTGTTCTCACTGTGTGAATTTTTAGGCTGCTGTTTAACCAATCATATCCAGGTGCAATTATTTGTCTTTTATATCCATTTGGTTTACTTGTAGAGTTATAGGCACATTCTAGTTATTACAAATGAGGGAAACTATGTGGCCTATGTTTCTTTGGGTCTGTTTTACTTCACTTAGCATAATTTTTTACAAGCCTTTCCATTTCCTTATGAATGGATCAGTCATTCTTTCTGATGGATGCATAGAACTCCACTGAGTATATATACCACATTTTCTTGATCCATTCGTCCACTGAGGGGCATCTGGGTTAATTCCATATCTTAGCTATGGTAAACAATGCTGTAATGAAGATGCTTATACTGGTGGCTTTAGTGTAGCCTGGTATTGTTTAAATCAGTTCTTTAAGTAAAAATATAGTTGATTGATTGATCATCAAATTTAAATATAACATTATCAAATAATTTATAGCCAAAATATTAAGATGATGTAGATTACAATCTATTCATGGAATGTAGCATTATGTCATAAGACAATTGTATTTTAGGTATTATATTTCAGATATATTTCATGTATTTCATAAGACTAAAAAGTAATTGATATCCATTTTTTAATTTTGATTCTAACCATGAAATAACAGGTTTTCATTTATAAGCCTTTCCCTTAAAGTGATGCATTACAGAAGTCGTTTTTCTTTGTTACTGATGAAAGAAAACAAAATTACATATTGCCCTCTTTATTTTTTTTTTATTTAGCATTTGATTTTGGAAGTGGTAGAGACTTCCTGAGGTGATGTAGAGTCTCGCTTAAATGGAAACAATTTATGGACCTGTTGGTGATCATATGGAGACAAATTTGCACACTTTTCCCCCAATATTATCTTGTTGTATTCCAGTTCCAGCATACTTTGTATTCTTGGTCTCCAACATAACTCATTGAAAATAATAGTAAGACACTAATAGTAAGCTGAGCATTGGTGGACCATGCCTATAATTGTAGCTACTGAGGAGGTTGAAACCTGGAAAATTGCATTTCATAGCCATCCAAGGCTTAAAAGTAGGCAAAATCCCATCTTAAATTAACCAGCAAAATTCTGGGCTGGAGGTATAGCCCAAATGATAGAGTACCAGTTGTAAGCAAGAGAGCCAAACAAGAGCTTCAAGCCTTGATTTCAAGTCTTCCTATTGTCATAATGAAATAATGTATTAATATATTTAAAATATGTGACAAAATCATATGTCTGTAATGGACTGAGTTTTAAATCCTTACAGGAGCATACTCTAATCACATATACTCATTACCTGTTACAGTGTCAGAATCGCCTATGCTCCCTTTCTTTCCTTTTTTTGCAGTACTGAGGTTTGAACTTAGGACCTCACACTTGTTAAGCAGCACTCTACTACTTGAGCCGCTTTACCAGCTCCTCCTTGGTTTGTTTATTTTCAAGACAGGTTTTATAACCAGGTCAATGCAGACTTCAGTCCTCATATTTGTGCTTTTCACTGTATCGTTGTGATGACGGGCATACACTACCACACCCACTATGGTTCCCCAGTAGCTTGGGATGACAGGAACATAACACTGCATGTCTCTAAGGTGTTTATAATCAAATATTTCCATGTTTATGTTTGCTTTTTAATTGGACAGGTCGAATGGGAGCTGGAGAAAAAAAGAATGCCTGCAGTGTCCAGTATCGGCGACCATTTGGCTGTGCAGTCCTTAGTATTGCAGACCTGTTAACAGGAGAGACAAAAGATGATCTTGTCCTGAAAGTGTACATGTAAGAAACATCCCATGTAGGGATTGAGGGGAAGGAGGTTGCTACATATGAATCTGGTCTGGATGAATGCTTCTTTATTTGGAGATTGAAGAACAAGGGGAACAAGGGATTGTTGAATTTGAATACTTTTTCAAAGGCCAGTCATCTATAGATTTGCTAAAAACGAGCCTACATCACATTGTTTGTCAGGGGAATTAAGAAATTAAAAACTGGCTACAAATATACTCAGTGGCAAAGTACTTACCTAGCATGTGAGTGGCCCTAGCTTCAATTACCAGTACTGTGTAAAAGGAAAAATACAAGGTAGCTGGGCTTATTGGCCCATACTTCAAATCTCAGCAGTTAGGAGGCTGAAGCAGGAACATTAGAAGTTTGAAGCCACCCTGGACTACATATCAAGACTTGGTCTTAATCAGTCAATCAATAATAAAGCTAAAGAATACAGACAGTATAATTATCAGGTAAATCATCGGCTATATAGAATATGTAGATTTCACCTTTGTAGGACACAATTATGTTTGGTAGAGACCCACCCCCAGTGGCCTTGTTCTAACTTGATTGTCTCTGTAAATATCCTTTTCCCAAATAAGGCCACTTCCTAAGCTTCTAGACTTTAGGACTTTAACTTTTAGTGGGTATACAGTTCATCCCATCATATTAACAAGAAAATCACTTATTTGAATCAACCCACCCACACGACCTCCCCATGGTTTGAAGTGAGAGATGGACAGTACTGTAATGTCATCAGAGCAGACCCATTAGATTGTCCACAGTCCTGGTTTGAGGCCCACACTGCTGGTCTCTTCCATGAGGAAATTTGCTTTCATCTTTTATTCCACAGCTTGTGTGGAAAGATACAACATATGCCACTAGTGTTTTCAAACATCATGATAGTACAACTGGGCCATTGCCTACGGGATACATACTTTAAATTGCTTTGTGACCGCTGCTGCAGGGTTTCATGGATTTATCTACTTTCTACCCAATGGGACCTCTGCAAGCACATTTGGTAATTAGTTGACAAAGATTTATCTATAGCCACTGGTTTATGACTGCAAATGTTGTATCCTTGTTAAGATGGATAAGATCAGTGACCTTCATTGTAAACTTGAACAAACTTCTTGAACCTAGTGGGTTTGTTTTTTTCTCTCTCTTCTGAATTATCTGTTAGCCTTTATTTTTTAAGGGTTGGATTTGAAATCTACTGTGAAATTGTTGTCAAACTCTGTTGGTAGTCATAAATATAACTTGTTTAAAATAATGATTTTACCAGTCACTGGTGGCTTATGCCTGTAATTCTTAACTACTCGGGGGAGGCTGACATCTGTAGATTGTAGTTTGAAGCCAGCCTTGGCAGAAAAGTGCCAGAGATTTTTTTATCTAAGTAACAAGCAAGCAAGCAAACAAACAAACCTGGAAGTGGAGGTATGGCTTGAGTATTGGAGCACCAGCCTTGAAAGGAAAGCAACCTGTAGCCATGACTGTCCAACTCTAGAGCTTGAGGCTCTCAGATGAACAGATTGTTTTTTCATGGCTATTATGCCAGGTGTGAGTGGCTACTGGGGTAACAGAGAGGCTGACAATGACGTGCAGGGCCCTTTATGATTCAGCCAGCTGAAGAGGACCATGAATTCCACCTTTGCATGTGGGAGATACTCTCTTGTAAAAATAAATTGTGCTATTCTTTGTAGTTTTTTTTTTTTTGGTCTGGTTCCCCACCCCCACCCCCCCCTTTCAGCATCAAATAAGGTTCTGGTTAATTCTTCCTAAAGAGAAATGCCTTAAAAATGCCAATTTAGCAAGTTGTAAAGAAGTTTCCAGAGAACACTAACCAGTCAAAGCACTCACTGCACAGTTGGAAGGAACTATGAATTTAGGAAATGCTGTGTATGCTTTAATCCTAGCATTTAGGAAATTGGGGCAGGAGGAAGATCTTAAGTTCAAGGCCAGCCAGGGCTACAAAGTTAAAAACCCATCTCAACAAAAAGAAAAAAATCAACATGTTAGGAAAGCTAGTCAGAAAAAAATTTAGAAGTGTTTTCTGTTTGAGTCTCTAACCCCATTGGGATTCATATAAACTAATAAATATCTTGTCTGAAACTGAAGGCACTAATGTCACCCTCATTAGGAGTTGGGGATTCTGTTTGTTTTTTGTGACAGAATCTTACTGTATAGCACACATTCACCTCAGAAGTACAGTCTTCTTGCCTCAGCTTCCTAAGTGATGGGATTACAGGTAATCTCCAGTTTTCTTAAAGCATACATTCTGGTGTCAATTAGCTATTTAGTCGAAAGCAAGCTTTCTTCCTACCCTGTTTAACTGAAATAAAACAAGAGGTAACATGTACTAAATGGCAATGTAGTCTCATAATTAGTCAAGTAGGATGCCTTGTTCCATCTGAATTCCAATCTTCTAAACTCAGGGCTCAGTTGAAAATAATCTCTGTCATATTCATCCTGGAAAAGCCTGTGATGATAAAATAGACAGGTATATAAGCTAGTAATTGTGAGCTATCTGCCTCAAACATGATTATCACTAGGAAAAGAAAGCTCTACTGTGGAATATTTGGATCAATGGTACATAGAATCTTGAAACTCTAGACTCTTGGGAAGAAGCATTTCTGGCTAGTTAGGGATCATAGCAAATTTACAAATATGCCTAAATGATAGAAGTTCTCCACAACCTAACTAGAGGAGTTGTAATAGTAAAGATGAATAGCAAATACAGTCTTTTATGTATCATCAGGAATCACCAGTCAGAGGAACATTCATATATCCAATTGTTCAAAAAACTTAAGGGATATTAGATATCAATTAGCCTAAATACAGTTCTCAGAACCTCTGATTTTACACACACACACACACACACACACACACACACACACAGTGGATTACACCATGTAAACAAACATAACATGAGCTAGCTAAATAAAGAGGTACCAATGACTGTAAGCGAAAGAAGGTAGAGCAATGCTATTCTCTCAGACATGAAAAATCTGAGTAGTTTTGTGACTGTTTGGTACACCATGCCAGACTTTTGCCAGTGTAAGCTGTATTAATAAATTTCATTTTGCTTTAATTTGTTGCATTTTCATGCTAGCCAAATCTGGCCATGTTACAGAAGTCAGAAATGCTCTAATGAGAACCAATATTTATTGAACATTGAATATAAACAAGGCATTATCCTAATACATTTAATGTTCTTTAGTACATTACCACTACTATATCACAACATACATACAAAAAGGGAAAATAATTTATCCAAAGAACATAAAGAAGAGTAAGATGTTCGCTCTAGGGCTTTGAACTCAGTCTGCAGGGCCTTTCATTGTTCTCTTTGTCATATTTTCTATTTTGGGAACCACTTGTAACTTTCGAATTGTTTGTCCTAGCTACCTCTGTCACAGGGTAGGTGGTCTGACATTATCAAGTATGGATGTTCCAACTTATTCGTAGAGCAGCCATGCTGAAATGTAACAGTTGTTTGTGGTGAATTGTTGGAAACTCCAAGGAGCTTTGGGAAGTACATTCTGGTGGATCTATCCAAAAGAGCTGGTGTGTTCTTCAGGTCATTGCTTGATCTTTATGTATCATTAAAGATAACTAAGTAATAATGTTTTCATAGGTGTAACACAGAGAGTGAGTGGAACCAAATCCATGAGAACATTATCAAAAAGCTGAATGCACGCTACAATTTGACTGGCTCCAATGCAGGTAAGTGTATGTGGCAGGCTGGCCTTTTCTGTTTTATTTCAGTTCTTCTCATTTATCTGTGTGACAAGAAAATGGTCAGTCCTTATTTTTTCCCTTTTTCTCTTCACTTCCTAACTTTTAAAATGCTCAGTAAACTGCTTATAGTTATAACTCTGTATTAAAAAAAAATGCATTCCAGAGCCGGGTGCTGGTGGCTCACGCCTGTAATCCTAGCTAGTTAGGAGGCTGAGATCTGAGGATTGCAGTTCAAAGCCAGCTCAGGCAGGAAAATCCATGAGATTCTTACCTCCAGTTAACCACCAGACAACCAGAAGTAGAGCTGTGGCTCAAAGTGACAGAGCACTAGCCTTGAGCAAAAAAGCTCAGGGACAGTATCTAGACTCTGAGTTCAAACCCCATGACCAACCAAAAAAAAAACAAGCAAACAACAAACAAACATGCATTCCATTTTGGTTTGAAACAAAGAAACAGATCCTTCCTTTTGCATTGCTACTAGGTCTTGAGACTTATAAATGGAAAGTTAAAAAAGTGCAGACATGCCTGAGTTTGTGACTGTTGAAATAGATTTGATAAATGGAAATATGTCAGGAAGGTGAAATAAAAATAGTTTGCTTGTCAATAGCTGTCTGTGAGTGGAGACAGCATTATACTGGATTATAGACATTCAGGTTCACATATTGAAGTAGACCACTGAGGATAGTGATGCTGACTCTGGCATCATATAGAGAAAATGTATGTATACTTGTTCAGAGAGGAGCTGAAATACCATATTCCACTATAAGCTGTATGTAATGCATGGTGTACACTGTTATAGTACAGTGACAATGTAGCATACAGTACACTATATAAAGGAAGTGCGGAAATATGTATACAAGTATGTATGTTATATGGTGATGTTTTTAAGTTTAATGGCAAAAATTTAGTGAATATTCTTTATGCTCTGTCCACTGAAACTGAGGCAAAATAAAAATGAACTTATATGCTTTACTTGCCATAAAACAACTTCAAATTCAATAAGCTGCTGTTTAAATTGGATGCATTGTTTTGAGGAGAGTGATTTTTTTTGTAGATTAAAAAAAAATTATCTTTAAGTAGTGTAAAGGAGTTGCTATTCAACAAAGCAGTTTATGAATACAATGGAATCTTTTTTAAGGGGGTAGGGGTAGGGGATTGGTCGTGGAGCCTGAACTCTGGGCCTGGGCGCTGTCCCTCAGCTCTTCAGCTCAGGGCTAGGACTCTATCACTTGAGCCATAGCACCACTTCCGGCTTTTTCTGCTCATGTGGTGCTGAGGAATCAAACCCAGGGCCTTGTGCATGCAGAGCAAGCACTCTACCACTGAGCCACCTTTCCAGCCCCTACAATGCAATCTTGATCAATGTCACCCCTTTCTTTCATCATTCTCCCCCTCCCAAAACCACCCATTTCCTCAGTTTTCTTAATTTTATAAAGTAAACATTGAGTTTTATGACTCCCCGAGGGAAGGGATTTTTAAACATCATGAATATAAGGGTTGTTTTTGTTTGTTTGTTTAATGAGAATCCAACTTCATGCAACAAATGCAACCAGAATTTAAATTCAGAACACCTTTTTTCAGACTTAGGTTCATCTTGCTAGGCCAAATCATTCATGGAAAGAAAGTACCTACCCATAAAAGCTGTGTGGTTCAGTCCAGTAAATGCCATGAATGTCTCCATCTCACGTACATTGCAGCACTTCAGGCAATGAAATGTGGTGAGCTCAGCTTCCCATTTGTCCTTCCAGGAGCTAGGGAGGTGATTTGGGTTTTATCTGATATACTTGATTATTTGCTTTGGGACAAAGTCTTTTTTTTTTCCTTTTTCTTTTTGTTGGTCATGGGGCTTGAACTCTAGGCTTGAATGCTGTCCTTCAGCTCTTCAGCTTAAGGCAAGCGTTCTACCACTGTAGAAACTGCCATATTTGCTTTCTAGCTCTTTTCCTCTAAGAGAATAACAATGTTGATTATATATGTACCAAGTGGTTTAACTTTAATATATCTCAATAATATTGAAGAGCTACTACTTTTTAAGTTATCTTTTCAAACTCTTTGACTTCTAGCCAAATCCAGTAGTTCTGTTTTAATCTCTAGTGCTTATTGATTTCACAAACCATTATTTGATCATTAAATAGACCTGTGAGGCTCCCATTCAGGAGGCATTGGCCATTAAACTATAGACAGGAATCTATTTCCCACTTGGCACTATAAAAATGTAAAATACTCTATAAACATTTTTCTCTTGATTATTTGATAAAGGGGTAACAGTAGCAATATTGGGCTAAATAAAATACATTATCAAAATTATTTTATTTTTACCTTTCTAACGTGGAAAGTAGAAAGCTTTAAATTGAAAGTTAACTCACATTATTCTTCTATGGGACAATGCTGATCCAGACACAATTTATAAGATAATCATTTCCTATGAGTCATCTCACACCTCCCAGACAAATTCATTGTACTTTGCTCCTTTCTTTCTACCTAATAAATGTGAATGGGAGAGTCTGTAATTTGTTCTTTCTTATTGAGCATCCTGTTGCTCTTAATTTGGTTTAATTTGCTAAGTGAATGAATAATGATGAAAACAACCCTGCTCTCTGACTTCTCCCATGTTTCCCCTGACACCACTACTGTTACAGATGCCATCTTCACTAACCAGGATGTGTTGGACTCCTGCAATACATGCCTTTCTCAGCTAACTCCTTGTGGATCCCCAACCCTTTCCCCTTGTGAATACATTTCATGGATTTTGTAAGGTTATTTGAATATAGCAGTAGCCAAACTCTCACTTCTAAGATTGTGGTGATGGTCTTGATGATGAGCTTTGATTTATATCCTCCTATAGCTTTATTCTTTATTTGATCTGTGTGCTTGGAGTCCTCTGTTGGAGTCAGGGATACACTTAAACCAAACTACAAATTTATCTCTGCTTAAAGTAATGAAATGCTTCATCTCACAGATTAAGATGGTATTTATGAGTTTTGCTTCTGTAGGCAAGATATCCTGAGTTTGAATCACACTGTCACTGGGATAACAGAAGTATCGTCTTCTAATGGTCATGGGGAGGATTAAAAGAAAATTAATGCAAAGCATTTACTATGAGATTTATGATTTATGCATACATATTTAGTATGTATAGCAATATTAGCTGCTTGTATTGTTTACTCACTTTGACTCTATCATGTGGAATATTCTATTCTTTTCCTCTTAAGTTACTTGGCTTCACTTTTTTTTTCCAAAATGGAATCCTGATTTAATCATTCTAATGAAGGCCTTTAGAATAATTCAATATAATAAACTATAATGGAATAAAACAACCTGGCTTGCAGATAGGTTGGATTATTAGATTGACCCCTATTATACTTTCTTATTCCCCATAAAGATCTGATGGCTAAAATATTTTTCTGGGTTCTTTTAACTTAATTGCTTATTGTCCTTCTGATTCCATATGTTAACTCTAGGCAGAAGGAGAGTACATAGTCAACATCTATGTGACTTAGCCTCCCCGGTCCTTACCTGATTCCTCCTAGTTCTTTCAAACCACAGCTTACCCAAATCTAAGCCCCATCACTATGTAATACACAGTTCTGCTTCAAAGAGATAAAGCTTAGAATGAAACTTAAAAAATAAAGCCAGCTGCCTGTGGCTCACATCTATAATCGTATCTACTCAGAAGGCTGAGATCTGAGAATCGAAGTTCAAAGCCAGAGCAGGAAAGTCTGTGAGACTCTTCATCTCCAGTAAACTACCCAGAAAAAGCCAGCAGTAGCACTGTGGTTCAAGGGCTACAGTGCTAACCTTGAGTGAAAGGAGCTCAGGAACAGCGTTCAGGCCCAGAATTCAAGTCTGGGGACCAGCAAAAAAAAAATAATAATTAATTAATTAAAAACATAATAAAACTTTTGCTCTTCCCACCAAAGTACTACCCTTTAGTCTTGATGTGTCACCATCTTCTCCCCTTGTTCTGTCCCCTTTTTGAGGAAAGGCAGTTATAAGCCCAGGTAACATACTAAGTAGGAGACTCCTTAATGGCTTACTCAAAAATATTTAAAGAAGCAGGATTATCAGAACTTGACATGGTAAATTAGGGTGCCTAATGTTTAGCTATAACAATGGTTAGAAATGTTCACTTTCACTGTTTTTTCTTCATTAAATGGAAGTAGTTCAGCCAAACATTTTCAAGACAATTGAGTTTACTCTGAAAATTCCTGTTTTGTTTTTGTTTGCTTTTTGCTTTTTTTCCTGCTTTCCCTCATTATTCTTTGGTCATGCGTACCAAAAACAGAAGAAAAGAATAACTTTAAAATTACTTTGAAACAAATTTCCCCAGCTAATTTCCAGACCTTCTATGGTTCATTGATTTCCTCTCAACTCTTGGAGTTGTAATATTGGCTGATAATAAAGGGCTTCATCTAGTTACCTGGGCTTTTCCCAATCTTATCTAATACTCAAATTGCAAAGGGAAATTAACCACTATCTATACTGAGTTTGATGCCAGGAGAAAATGACAAGCAGTCTATTTAATTTTTAAAGTAAAAAATGAATTATAATATCTCTATAGTTAGATTTTGTTAGGTTAAGATATTTGAAATCTTCAAAGCTGTTTAATAAGGGAATTTTAAAGTCAAGGAAGAAATCTTGTAAGAATTTGAAATTCTAAAAATACCCATTCAGACAGATCTGCTTTAGGTTTATTGAACAAATGGTTGATATAAATGTCACCTCTGGTAGATACCAGTTGAATTCTAGGAATGTGAACTTAGACTGCCAATATGATTTGCTGAGGCAAATTTAGTTCTCAGACTTGAGGTGAAGTGTGTAAAAATCATTGGCATTGGTTCAGACTGTTCAGTATAACCTAAGAAACTGAAAATTCTTTCCATATCATTTGTGTATTTGTGAAATATTCCAATAGTTTTAACCATGCAGTTTAGAATGAGAAAAAATGGTATTTGCTCATCAGGTAGCTTTCAAAAATCTTTATT